ACGCCACTGACATGTGGGTGAACTACGGGGCACTGACAGGGGGTGACTACTGGCCACTGGCATGTGGGTGACTACTGGCTACTGACATGTGGGTGACTACTGGCCACTGACATGTGGGGACTATGGGCACGACATTGGGTGACTACGGCCACTGACATTGGGTGACAAATTGGCCACAACATGTGGGTGACTACTGGCCACTGACATGTGGGTGACTACTGGCCACTGACATGTGGGTGACTACTGGCCACTGACATGTGGGTGACTACTGGGCACTGACATGTGGGTGACTACTGGCCACTGACATGTGGGTGACTACTGGCCACTGACATGTGGGTGACTACTGGCCACTGAAAATTGGGTGACTACTGGCCACGACAGTGGGTGACTACTGGCCACTGACATGTGGGTGACTACTGGCCACTGACATGTGGGTGACTACTGGCCACTGACATGTGGGTGACTACTGGCCACTGACATGTGGGTGACTACGGCCACTGACATGTGGGTGACTACTGGCCACTGACTGTGGGGGACTACGGGCCACGACATGTGGGTGACTACGGGCCCAAACTGACATGTGGTGACTACTGGCCACTGACATGTGGGGGGACACTGGCCACTGCCCTGGGGGTGACACGGCCACTGACATGTGGGTGACACTGGCCACTGACATGTGGGTGACTACTGGCCACTGACATGTGGGTGACTACTGGCCACTGACATGTGGGTGACTACTGGCCACTGACATGTGGGTGACTACTGGCCACTGACATGTGTAGTGCAAAAGCTGGCAACATATTTTTACGCTACTACAGCTGGAGTGTTGTAAAGCAAAATTTTATGTGACCACAAGTATAATGTGCCCAAGGTATATTATGTGACCACAAGGTATATTATGTGACCACAAGGTATATTATGTGATCACAAGGTATATTATGTGACCACAAGGTATATTATGTGACCACAAGGTATTTTAAATGTGATCAAAAGGGAAATTTAAAATGTGATCACAAGTATATTATGTGACCACAAGGTAATTATGTGATCACAAGGTAAATTATGTGACCACAAGGTATATTATAAACCACAAGGTTATTAATGTGACCACAAGGTAATTTAAGTGACCACAAGGTAATATTATTGACCACAAGGTATATTATTGACCAAAAGGGTAATTATGTGACCACAAGGTAAAATTATGTGACCACAAGCTATATTATGTGACCACAAGCTATATTATGTGACCACAAGCTATATTATGTGACCACAAGCTATATTATGTGACCACAAGGTATATTATGTGACCACAAGGTATATTATGTGACCACAAGGTATATTATGTGACCACAAGGTATATTATGTGACCACAAGGTATATTATGTGACCACAAGGTATATTATGTGACCACAAGGTATATTATGTGACCACAAGGTATGTTATGTGACCACAAGCTATATTTTTGGACCACAAGCTAATTATGTGACCACAAGCTATAAAAATGTGACCACAAGCTATATAATTTGACCACAAGCTATTTTAAAAGTGACCACAAGGTAAATTATGTAAACCACAAGGTAAAATTATGTGACCACAAGGAAAATTTTATTTGACCACAAGGTAAAATTATGTGACCACAAGGTATATTATGTGACCACAAGGTATATTATGTGACCACAAGGTATATTATGTGACCACAAGCTATATGATGTGACCACAAGGTATGTTATGTACCACAAGGTATATTTATGTGACCACAAGGTATATTATTTTGACCACAAGGTATATTATGTGACCACAAGGTATATTATGTGACCACAAGGTATGTTATGTGACCACAAGGTATATTATGTGACCACAAGGTATATTATGTGACCACAAGGAATTATGTACCACAAGGTAATTATGTGACCACAAGGAATGTTATGTGACTACAAGGTATATTATGTGACCACAAGGTATATTATGTGACCACAAGGTATATTATGTGACCACAAGGTATATTATGTGACCACAAGGTATATTATGTGACCACAAGGTATATTATGTGACCACAAGGTATATTATGTGACCACAAGGTATATTATGTGACCACAAGGTATATTATGTGACCACAAGGTATATTATGTGACCACAAGGTATATTATGTGATCACAAGGTATATTATGTGACCACAAGGTATATTATGTGACCACAAGGTATATTATGTGACCACAAGTATATTAGTGCCCCAAAGGGTATATTATGTGACCACAAGGTAATTATGTGACCACAAGGTATATTATGTGACCACAAGGATATTATGTACCACAAGGTATTTTAAAGTGACCAAAAGGGTAAAATTATGTGACCAAAAGGGTTTATTTTTATTAAACCACAAGGTATATTATGTGACCACAAGGTATATTATGTGACCACAAGGTATATTATGTGACCACAAAGTATATTATGTGACCACAGGGTATATTATGTGACCACAAGGTATGTTATGTGACCCCAGGAAGTGGAAGCTACAGGTGGGTGTGGTGGAAGGCAGCAGCACACATAGTGGACTGGGTCGTCAGGACAGCAGGACTGGCAGTGTGTTAAGTGGTGACGGGGGCAGTTCTAGCACCGTGGGCACCCCTGACTCTATCCCTGGCAGGGGCATCGTGGGTCACTATGGTCAGTGGATGCTCATGTGGCGCCAGCACGCCACCAAGGACGCCACGGACGCCGACAAGGAGCAAAACGTCACTATTATTGGTATGTATGGTAGTGGGCAGTGTGCTGTAAGGTGGAGGTGTGGTTAGAGAAAAACTTTTCTGTAAATGTATACTGTCTCTCTCTCTCTCTCTGCTCTTCCTCTCCTCTCACTCTTTTCATCTCCTTCTCTCACTCTCTCTCTCGCTCTCTCTCCCCTCTCTCCTCTCCTCTCTCCCTCTCTCCCTCTCCTCTCTCTTCATCTCCTTCTTCTCTCTCGTCTCTCTCTCTCCTCTGTCTCCTGTCTCTCTCTCTCTCTCTTCTCGTCTCTCCCTCTCTCTCACTCATCCTCTCCCTCATCTCTCCTCTCTCTCTCTCTCTCTCCTCTCTCTCTCTCTTCCCCTCTCTCTCCCCTACTCTCTCTTCTCTCTCTCTCCTTCCCCCCCTCTCTCCCCTCTTCCCCTCTCTCTCTCTCTCTCTCTCATTTTCTCCTTTTCTCCTCTCCCCCGTCTCCTCTCTCTCTCTCTCTCTCTCCTCTCTCCTCTCTCTCTCTCTTCTCTCTCTCCTCTCTCTCTCTCTCTCTCTCTACTCTCTCTCCTCTCTCTCTCTCCTCTCTCTCCTCTCCTCTCTCCTCTCTCTCTCTCTCTCTTCTCTCTCTCCTTCTCTCCCTCTCTCTCTCTCTCTCTCTCTCTCTCCTCCCTCTCTCTCTCTCTCCCTCCTCTTCCTCTCCTCTCTCCCCTCTCTCTCTCTCTCTCTCTCTCTCACCTCTCTCTCTCCTCTCTCTCTCTCTCTCTTTTCTCTCTCCTCACTCTCTCTCTCTTCTCCCCTCCTCTTCTCTCTCTCCCCCTCTCTCTCTCTCCTCTCTCTCTCTTCCCTCTCCTCTCCTCTCTCTCTCTCTCTCTCTCTCTTCCTCTCTTCGATCTCTCCATCCTCTCTCTCTCTCTCCCTCTCTCTCCCTCTCCTCTCTCCCCTCTCTGTCACCTCTCTCTCTCCTCTCTCACTCTCTCTCGCCTCACTCACCTCTCTTTCCTCTCTCCCCCATCTCTCACTCCCCTCTCACCCTCTCTCACTTCCTCTCTCCCTTTCCTCTCTCCTCCCCTCTCTCCTCTCTCCCCCTCTCTCCTCCCCTCTCTCCATCTCTCTCCTCTCTCCTCCCCCTCACTCCCCCTCTCCCCTTTTTCCCCAAATCTCATCCATCTCTCACTCATCTCCCCACTCCATCTCTCATTTTCCATTTACTATTCCCCACTCCCCCCCTCACCCATTCTCCTCCTCCCACCCATCTCTCACTCCACCTCTCACTCCATCTCTCCCTCCCTCTCCTCCACTCTCACTCCACTCTCCTCCATCTCCACTTCCACTCTCACTCCCTCTCACTCCATCTCTCACTCCCCCTCCTTCCACCTCTACTCCATCCTCACTCCCCTCTCTCACTCCAACCCCCACTCCACTCTCACTCCACTCTCCTCCATCTCCACTCCACTCTCACTCCATCTCCACTCCATCTCTCACTCCACCCTCACCCATCCCCCTCACTCCACCCCTCACCTCCATCTCTCCCCTCCACCCCCTCACCCATCTCCCCCTTTCCCCCCTT